TGACAAAAAAACACAGATAATTCTGGACTATAATTCCACAAAAGGGGGTGTAGATACTCTTGATCAAATGGTCTCTACTTTTTCTACAAAGAATGACCCGCAGGTAATTATAAATATAGCAATACTCTATAAAAGTTGACAAAATCTATTATTTGTCCATCAATTTTTTATAATTCAGGTGGCCTATGGTAATTTTTTACAAGATCCTAGACATTTCTGCTTTTAATGCTTTCGTAGTTTGAATGCATTTAAATCCTACATGGAATAAACAGAAGACGCATCGCAGAAGATTTTTTTTTAAAGAACTCGGTAAATCTCTGCTAGTAAATCAACTCCAGTCAAGACTGATACTTCCAAATTTGTCTTTAAAGTTACACGATTCTATTTGTGAGTCACTTGCAAATATTTCATAACAAAATGTCAAAGTAAGTTCTTCTATGTAGTTCAATGATCCACAAAATAACACAAAAAATACCAATGATAAAAATAAAGCAAGAGATGATAGTAAGTTTTGTTTGAAAAGAAAACGAGGTAGATGCAAGCTCTGCGTTAGATCACTTGATAAAAAAGTTCGTAGTATTTGTGATAAATGTCACAATTTTTTATGCTGTACACACAGCAAAATTCTTTGTGAACACTGTGCAAAGTAAACCATACAAGCTTACATATATATATATATATATATATATATATATATATATATATATATATATATATATATATATTTGTATAGATTTCGATATTTAGAATATATTCGAGGTTAAGTATTTTAATGTCATAATACGAAGTCTCTTGTACGTGTTACAGTGCTCAATATTACTGAATAATAGAGCTATATATAATTATATTTAGATGAATAAAAACAACTGATTAGCGGGACTTAAAGTTTCATGCCCGGAGGCAATCATCAGCCGTTAATACAAACAAAAAACGTAAACAAACCGTTACAAAAAAGTAAAAATTACTGGAGAATGACATCTGACGTTATAAACATATCTACGTAAAAAACAAATCAAAAATTATATTATTTTACCTCGATGTTACGTTAAATCTAAGTAACGGTACGTTTCAACCATATTTTAAACCTGATAATCAAATAAGGTACATCCACTCTAATTCTAACCACCCTTCAAGCATAATAAAAGCAATCCCTCGCAATATCGAACAAAGATTATCTTCCATGTCAATTAATGAAAATTTCTTCAAAAAGGCTATTCCACCGTATGAAGAGGCTTTAAAAAAATCGGGATATAAATCGAACCTTACCTACCAACCACAAATAATCTCAAGTCAAAATCAACAAAAAAAGCAACGTAAACGTAATATTATTTGGTATAACCCTCCGTTCAGCTTAAACGTCAAAACAAAAATAGGAAACCGTTTTCTAGCCCTTATTGACTTACATTTTCCAGCCGGTCACAAGCTACATAAAATATTCAACCGAAATTCTGTTAAGATTAGCTACAGTTGCATGCCTAACCTAAAATCTATCATAAATTCGCATAATTCCAAAATTTTACACAGCAAAAATCAATTAAAATCCAACCAATGTAACTGCGTAGATAAAGCATTTTGCCCTTTGAACAATCAATGTTTATCTAACAATATTGTCTATCAAGCAACCGTAGGTTCCAATCATCATGATCGTAATAAAAAAGTATATTTTGGCATTAGTAATACACCATTTAAACTAAGATACGCAAACCATCTCAAATCATTTGCATCAATTAAATATAGAAATGACACAGAACTATCTAAGGAAATATGGAGTTTAAAAGACCAAAACATAATGCCTATTATAGAATGGAAAATTGTCAAACGTTGTAAACCTTACAATTTAGCAACAAAAATATGCCACCTTTGTCTCTACGAAAAATATGTAATTTTATCGCATAATGGAAAAAATCTACTAAATAAAAAAAACGAAATCGTATCTCAGTCGGCATTCAATAAAGTTCCTATTATCTTTATTTGACACAGGGGACTAATAAACTATAACGGCTTTTTGTTTTCGATTTGTTTTTTACCTAGATTTGTTTAAACGTCAGATGTCATTCTACAGTAATTTTTACGTTTTTGTAACGGTTTGTTTGCGTTTTTTGTTTGTATTAACGGCTGATGAATGCCTTCGGGCATGAAACTTTAAGTCCTGCTAATCAGTTGTTTTTATTCATCTAAATATAATTATATATATATATATATATATATATATATATATATATATATATATATATATATATATATATGTATATATATACATATATATATATATATATATATATATATATATATATATATATATATATATATATATATATATATATATATATATATATATATATATATATATATATATATGTGATATATATATATATATATATATATATATATATATATATATATATATATATATATATATATATATATATATATATATATATATATATATATATATATATATATATATATATGTATATCAGGCGCGGATCCAGCATTTTTTGATGTTTGAGATAACTAACTTCCAGACATGGAACAAACTCCAAAAATTTATATGTTTATACTTATGTCAAATAAAGATGATTTGCAAAAAATTGCGACGATTGGAGTCTAGGAACAAAAAAGCCCCAAAATTTTGGCCACACAAACCCCAAACAAGAGAGCAACAAGTTGATAAAATATTTTTTGTACAATTCTTAAGTAAATTTATATTCATCGATAAATTCTAAATTTCATACAATAATCTCTTAGTGTTCAAAAAACATGACCTTCCAAAATTTGTAACCCCCTCAAATTGAGGGGGTTTAAAGCTTTGTGCAATTATTATTTTTGAACACTAGGGAGATTATTTTATGAAATTTAGAATTTATCGATGAATATAAATTTACTTGAAAATTGTACAAAAAATATTTTATCAACTTGTTGCTCTCTTGTTTGGGGTTTGTGTGGCCAAAATTTTGGGGCTATTTTGTTCCCAGACTCCAATCATCGCAATTTTTTGCAAATTATCTTTATTTGACATAAGTATAAACATATAAATTTTTTGGGTTTGTACCATGTCTGGAAGTTAGTTATCTCAAACATCAAAAAATGCTGGATCCGCGCCTGTATATGTATATATGTATATATACAGGTATATATATAAATATATATATATATATATATATATATATATATATATATATATATATATATATATATATATATATATATATATATATATATATATATATATATATATATATATATAGATAGATATATATAAATACATATATATAAATATATATATATATATATATATATATATATATATATATATATATATATATATATATATATTTATATATATACAATAACATTAACATATGTTCATTTGTTTAGATTGTTAAAACAGAATAAAATTATCTTGGTTTGTCTCGTTAAACAACGATTTATTTTATTAAAAACATTATTTTTTAGTTGAGGTCCGTATGGATGCCAACGTAACCAGTGCAAGTCCATTAGCGACGGCATAGCAGGGTTAAACTAGTAGTATTATATTATTAGTGGTATTTGGATCATTAATAAATAATTACTTGTATTGATTTAACTTTTTCAAGCTTATTACAGACTTGTATTACAAAGTCTCATCAAAGTTTAATAATCTATAATGTGATATTCGATAATGAATTATATGGCTATGGATCATTTTAGTGCTTTATTAGTATAAATATACAATGTTGTTTATCACTCTGTGTATTTGTCTATGCTATATTCTTGTTGCTTTGTATTAGGCTTGTTCATATTTGTTTGTGTTTATATTAAGCCTGTTCATATTTGTTTGCTTAGGTTGTCCGAAATTGTCAATTTATTTTATAAAGATTGCTTTCACAATATATAAAACAATAACAAAATTAAATAGGGAGTCCATATTAACTCATTTCCTGCGGTGATTGTAATAATACGGTTAAACTAAATTTTACCACAATGTGATGACCGTAATATTACGTTTTTTACTGACGTTGATATCTAGATACTGTAGTGCACGTACTATCGTTGTTTTACTTTTGTTATTTGAATAAAAAGAGCACATTTCATGGTACGTTTATTATAATCATTTTTTTTTAAATATTTTCTAATTTTTTTTTTAATATTTTCTTATTAGCTCGAATAGTTTGAAGAAAAGGTCTAAATAAAAAAAATGTACGAAAAAGTTTTCGATTTTATTTTCTTTTGTTTTTGTAGATGTTTGTGAACATCTTTCGAGATGAACCTGTGCGAATTACTGCCAGGCACTTTCCAAGTTATGTACCCGCCTCTGAGAAAAAAGTGAACGCTGAACAAGCTTATGCTGTTTGTTCTGCACATAAAATTCGCGAAGATGTACATATTCAATGCCATATCGGTTTGTGTGCAAATATCGGTTTGTGTGCAGTTCTGACTGCGATTTCGGTTTGTGTGCAGTTCTGTTTTCCTAAATCTACCACACTACCCGACATTTCTGATATATTAATTTTATTGTTCTTATTACTTAATTAGGAAAAAAAATTATAGAAAATGTACTTTGAAAAATAAAAATGTAAAAACCTCATTTCTATGCCTGAAATCATATATTTTAATCATAATATGTTACTTTGATTAACAAAAACTATAAAAAAACTATAATAAATGTTAAAAAAAAAAAATTGAAAAAAAAACTGCGCAAATAGCGTTAGTTAAAAAAAAAGCTCGACAGAAAAGGGGGCTTATTTACCCTATTGTGTAAATGTTAATCTTTATATTTCATAAAAATATATTTTTACTTACCCTATTGTGTAAATGTTATTCTTTATATTTCATAAAATTATATTTTTTAGGATAGTTGAAGATTACTTAATGCAATTATAAATACATATTATTACCAAATTGTTTAAAAATACACTTTTATTTTATAAACTGTGATTCAATTATTGGAAGTCTTTATTACGAATGTTTACAATTACAATTGTTAATAATACATAATACAAAAAAAAAAGTATATTTACCTTATTTTTATCCATAAAACTTTGATCATGTTTGATAATTACATCTTTATGCTGTTTAAAAGCATGTTGAACCTTAACAGTTATACAGTTAACAGAATTTCTTGCCTCTGGAGATCCAAATACAAGAAAAAAACTTAGAAAACCATTGTCTATTCTTTGGATTGATTGATTATTTAAGTAAACCTGAAAAAAGCAGTTTTTGATTTTTTATACGTACGTAAAACAACATGTATAATATACATATATATTAATAATACTTTTTTATGCAACTTTCTCTGATGCAGTGTGAGCTCAGAAACTAACTAATGACTCTAACTCTAAAACTTACGCTCATCTTATCCTTTAGTGTTTTGTTAGATGTAATATTTTTCCTTATTAATTCCAAAATATCAAGTCTAATGTTTTGGAATTAACTCCTTCTAAATACTCCAGATAAGGTCAGGTTTCGGATCATGACAATTACCTTGCTACTTGTATTATGTAACCCAGTACTACCTGCCTCAAAACCTGCTGTCTTGTAGGGTGTGCCGTTTTACACAATATCTAAATGAACGAACGCCAACCTAAAGATCCCCTGACTAAAGGTTAATGGTTGTGTAAAAATAGAGATGATTTTTGGATAAAAATACCATCTTGAGTAATTGTTAATTGCATTCAGCTAAGTTCCCTTGCTTTGGGACTCTCAGTTACATAAGAGCTGGATACGGTGTCTCAAAAAAAAACTCATCTTAAGAAGACTTCGAATCCATTCCGCTAGCGTCTTGTAGAAGTCTTTCTAGGTAATTACTTAAGAGGTAATCGGAAAAAGTATGCTAACCAGCTTTGAACCTTTTCTTTATCTATAAGGCAGGAGTAGATGAAAACTTAAGTTACAGTTTTTCGTAACTAAGCTGATGAGTGTTAATTCTTCTTGACTCATAGATTTTTTCGTGCCTCCTTAATAGTGATTGAACAAATCTTCCTGTTATTTCCTAACCAGGGTACAACTCTAAAAGTCAGTTTAATGGTTCTAAGGCAAGGTGAAAGGTTTTTTGAACTCAATGGTAGCTCTCAGTATGGCTACTTCTATCAACAGCTGCAAATTATCATTATTAGCAGTGGCGTATAGTGCATAAATGGTTCCCATGGCAATACTTTTGGTGCACATTGTTGAGGTCAAATGTAGATCCCTAAACTTTTGGTAAACTAAAAGAAACTGAGACAACTGCATAGCTCATTGCTTAGCAGGCCTTACTCTATCTATAAATCAAGTTCTCATTAAACTTGAGACGTGGCGAATTAACCCAACATAATACACATTAAAAAAATCAACTTCTTTACCTATCTGTTTTTATATAAGTATATACTTTTTCTTTATACCTCGCAATAAATTAAAGGTAAAATAAATTATAATAAAATTGTCACCAAATTAGTTAAAATCAGCTAGACACGGCTCTTGCTGTTGTTAGCATTAAGTGCTAATAACCTGGCGGTGCGGTTTCCACCAAGTACTGGTTCACATCCGTCAAAGTTTTAAACGACTTTCTCTTTTCTTTCAAATTCCAAAACTGGAAGGTTTCTTTAAATATTGACTCAACATCAGCTTGTAGGACTATAGATAACGTAAATTTAATTTTTTTGACATCTATTATGCACAGGATGAAGTTAAAATCAAGTGTGATGCAGGCTTCTGAAACTTCATTTGTAAAAAAAAAATTATAATGTTTTGCCTAAACTTGATTGATTATCAGTAATTACTTAGTTGGATTTTTCGACAGCTTTATAAAAGGATTTACTTTGTTACTAAGCTGAATAGTTAAAATATCCTCTATTTAAAAAATGAATGTAGCTAATTTTTGAAGTACTTCAAGATACAGAAAAATAATTTTAAGACTGCTCTTCCAAAATCGTCTATATTGCTAAGAAAACTGATATCATATCCGCTCAGCTCAAAAATATAAATGAGTTTCGGTACAGTTAAGGTATTGTACTGAAATGAACTAAATGAACTGCTGCTGACGGCTGCCAGTAACAAATGCCTTTGTCAATTAGAGTTATTGCAACCAATTGAAACTGAGATATACGCTCATTTAAATTTGGTTCTTGGATTGTTGTAATTTTATTTTTGGTAGTATTATTCCATTGGAAACGCAGATGTTTTAATTTAATTTGAAGGTCCGTTAAGTTGAATAACGTTGTTGAAAATGTTGCTTTATTCCAGATATTAGAAATTAATTATACACCTTACACTATTCTTCGTGGTCTGCGAATCAACCTTTTATCAGTTTAATCTTACCTCTTGCAAAATTCATCACACTTGCTCGCTCTTACTAAAATTATTTAAACTTCCTTATTTCTTTTTCAGATCTCATTAATGATAGTTACTATTCTTTGATTTGCAAATACCCTGATAGCCAAATGCTTGACTTGGGGGGTATATGCATCAATTTGTAAAATCTGAAAAACGCTCCTTCTAAGTAATATTCTGTAATATATTCATTTTCGTAAATTCGGAGGCACGCCTCATTTTATTATATGATTTTCATTTTTTTTGTGCAGCTCCTATGTCTAACTGTTATCATTTTTCTCATCTTTCACAAATAAAAATATGTTTCGAGAACAAATGGCTAATTAAAGTGGCAAGAAATCTATGTAAAAAGGAGCTGTCTGATGCTATATTGTTCTCAGTTAACGAAATCTTGTATTACATCTCAGATGTTAGACTCTAGGGACCTTTAGAAAATCTTTAACAGCATCATTTACAAAGGTGTAACATTTCATCCCTTATTTTTAAGACTGATCCTTACTTTTATCCCAAGGAAATTTGCAGAATCATTTGCAAAGAATTAATTTTCTAGTTCTACTCTTGAACTTTATGAACATTCTCTAGCTTCCATTACCATTAAACAGGTTAACCAATTGATGGACATTTGGTATCTAAATTCATATCTTGAATTAAACTCTTTTAGGGCTGTGGTCAGGTAAACTCCTTTTCATAGTCTAAAAAAACTCTATTTTCATTACTCTATTTGATTCTGTTTAGACTTTTTAATAAGTACTTGCCTGGGTATTGTTTTCCGGTGTGCTGGAAATTGGCATCCGTGGTTCCGATTTTCAAAAACTTCGGAAAACAATCTGACCCCTCTCAATATAGTCTGCTCTGTCTTCTTTCTGTTATTACCTAGGTCTTTTAGTCTGCGATTAACAAATTAATTACATCCCATTTCGAATAAAATAACTTACTGTCAGATAATTAATTTTTTTTTCTGTTTATTTAGGTGCCCCAAAAAGATCTAACGATCTTGTCACAGAGCACTGCGGAAGTGTATTTAACCAGGAAGTTCACGCCTTCTTCCTTACCGTGACGCAAAAATATGTCCAGAGCACGTCTCGAACCTGGATCTCCTGCTTATAAAGCAAGCGCTGTAACCACTGCGCCACGGCTGCACAATTAATTTGAACCTTGACCCTCTTGTTATACAGCTGACTTGCTAACTACTGCGACTTTATCGTGCATCGGATGAAGGCGGTGAGGCTAGGGCTAATGCTCCTAACATATCTAAAGCATTTAAAAAACTTTTGCATGCTGGTTATTCTTTGTTTAGAGAATAATCAGGACTTTGTTTAAAGAATAACCAGTCATCACTTAAATAAACTTTGTTTAGAAAATAACCAGTCATAAACTTTGTTTAGAGAATAACCAGTCCTCACTTGAACACAGTATAAAGTTCATATAAACACCATATGAAGTCTTATATGAACACTATATGAAGCTTCATATGAACATTAAATGAAGCTTCATATAGTGTATCTAGGAAAGTGTTTGAGTTTATCAAATCATTACTTACTAACCGTTTTATTATGTTTACAAGTCATCTTTAAAGGCCCACACATGAAGAATAACCTAAATTTTTAGCCTTAATCTTGTTTTTTTTATCAAATTAATGATATTTCCAATAACCTTACATCTAGGGTATCTTTTTTTGCTGGTGGTTCAACTTTATACACCTGTCTTGACAAAAAGTTCTCTTTTAAATTGCTCATAAAAAGCAACCGATAAAAAATCTGATCTCACTTTTCTAACAGATTGGGGCCTGCAGTTGTTCGTAAATTTTAGCTCCAATAATACTCAGTTCTTTTGTGAAAGCAACAGAGTAAATCTAAGTTCTGCCGATTTTCTTGTTTTAATGAATTCCAACACTCTCACTGAGTTATCTTCTTTAGATTTTCTTGGACTATCTTTTACAACTAACCTGTTATAAAAACCATGGTAAACAATTGTATATTGGTTTACAATCATTGTATACCAATATACCAATATATCCATAAATCAATATTAATAAATTAATTTATCAAAACTATGTATACACTTCTATTTTCTACTTCTGCAAATCTTTTATTCGTCACTGTATGGAATACTGCTTTTATAATACAACTGTCTTCTAATGATGCCCTTTCTCTTTCAAACAAGTCCAAAAACACATTCTAAACGTATTTGGACCTGCTAAAATTGAGTCGCATTGTCGTAAGTAGCATTTCTTTCTCTTTTTTTTTAAAAACTATTATGTTTGTTGCTCAAAGAAGGTAACATCTCTAGTTTCCTCAACTAAACTCATTTTTGTTTGACTTGTCATTTAATGACACCTCATTTATTTTCTATATCAATCCCTACATGTTTTAAAAATTTTTATTTGTCTACTTTTTTCCTGCACTGCAACCCATTGAAACTCTCTCATATCTTTATTTTTTCCTAACTCATGAACTCTACACCTTTTCAAATTGTCTGTCAACTGTTACCTTGCTCTACAACAATATTCTTTTTGATAATGACTTCCAACTTTATCGTACTTGTGTATTTTATTACCCTAACCATATTAGCAGGCCAGACACGACTCTCCATAATTATCCAACTACTGATGACATGTAATCCAGCGCAGACACATGTCCAAATGGCTTATAGAAACAGCTTTTTAATGCAAATACTAGAAAAAGATGTTTCGGACTAGAAATTAGTTTGGAAAAAGTAAATTTCTAGTCCGATTAACAAATAAATATATATATATATATATATATATATATATATATATATATATATATATATATATATATATATATGTATATATATATATATATAAATATAAATATATATATATATATATATATATATATATTACATATATATATATATATATATATATATATATATATCATTTTGTATGTATATATATATATATATATATATATATATATATATTATGATTTATATATTATGATATATATATTATGATATGTATATATATATATCTATATATATATCATACATATATATATATATATATATATAAATGATATATATATATATATATATATAAATATATATATACATATATATATATATATATATATATATATATATATATATATATATATATATATATATATATATATATATATATATATATATATTATATATATATATATATACATATACATATATATATAAACATATAAATACAACGCCGGCGCCATTTGGGGGGTGTAACACTTATCCTCCCTTAATGTTACTTTGTTCATTTAGTTAGCAAATTTGACTATTATTGATTTGTTTGTCGGAAAATGTAGACCCTTTTAATAAATTATTCGGTAAATTAAGATAGTCATTTGGCAAATGTTGCTATCGCAGTTGAAGAGCAGACGGCAAATTTTAAAAAATAAGGGGACTTTTTTTTAGTCGGCAAGTGATGTAATGACACTCTCCCTTTCCACACGTGACACCTACTAAAGCCAGCCCTGTATATATAACATTTTAAACGGCGGGGACAAGTCATCAAAACAAATGCGTTACATGAAATGTCATACAAACACGTGTCTTTATATGACCTCTCATGTAAAATTTTTGTTTTGCTGACATATCCTCTTCAATCGCACGCCTTCTTTTGAAAGACTGAAACACCAAAAAAAATTTACTGAAAACTTGTCTTTAATCATATTTTTATTTAAGTACTTTTCTAGGCATAAAAGTTTTTATATTCCTTTTTTTATTGGTTGAGCAGTTTCAAACTTTTATATTTTTATGTGTTTATGGTTTTATATATTTTTATTAATATAGTTTTATATATTTATATATAGTTTTAATAATAAAAATGAGTCTAATATAGTTATTATATTGAACTCTTGTGTGATGCCAGCTCTTGATTTTTGCAAAACAGCTTTAGATTGTAGGCTAAGGTGTACGTCATTTATATTGTGATAGTAGATAAGCATATTCTTAAATTCTAACATAATTTTGAAATTGGTCATGTTTTTTTTTTGTAATCCATATGTAGCAGCTGCAACCAGCAGTTTCCTGAATTCTTTGAAACACGGGGTTCAAAATTGAAACAACTTTAAACACCATATTTAATTAATGCTGAAAAACTATTTATGATCAAGTAATGAAATAACTATGTTTATGTCATTTTTATTATTTAAACTCTTTATAAAAATATATAAAAGCATAAACGCATAAAACAAAATAAAGACATAAACTGTTTAAACAATAAAAAAAAGAATATAAAAACTATTATACTGATAAAAGTACTTAGAGGAAAAATGAAAATCAACTTCTCGTCATCACTAAGTATTTAAACAAATAATTTAAACACAGTTGGAAAAAAAATAGTTTTTCAATAGTATAAATATTTTTATACGGATACAAATATAACTATTATTATACTTAAATTTTATAAATTATAAATTTTTACTGAGTTTATCCATTTGAATCATTATATAAATAGTTATATACTGACGCAGCTGTAAATACATTTATAGCAACATTGTTGGAGTTATGCATTGTTGGAATTATGCATTGTAAAAAAATAAAAGTTTCTATGTGCACGCTAGCATGTTTAACAAAAATTTATTTTAGGCTATTAAACCCCAAACCCTTTTCTCTTTGATGATGCTTTTTTACCATTTATGCTTGACTTGCTTGTAGAAAAAATTTATAGGGAAAATGGAAAACTTAATTAAACTAGTTTATTTTTCTAGAACAATATTGGGGAAGTTATTTTTATGTTATAATAACAAATAATTTCATCTAATTAAAATTTTTTTATACTAAGTCAATATTTCTGATATGTATTTTATCTAATTTCTGTAAAGTAACTTTTTTTTGACCCAATAATGTTTAAAATCAATCAAATATTTTTTAACAAATTATTCATAAAAAGCAATTATTCATATTATAGAAAATATCTCAAAATATAATAAAAATAGGCATCACACTACAGCGCATCATTATAAAGTCATCTGACACAAATGAGTTTATCTAATGTATTTTTGAAAAAATATATATAACCAAATATATTTATTTAAGGACTACATTACAATATTTAGTATATATTCAAATATGTTATAAAAATTTGTAACGTTTTCTATATTTTTCTTTCAAGTTTTTGTTTTTAAATAAGTATTTTTTTAAATAGTCATTTAAAAACAAAAGCTTGAAACAAGAGTAACATGTACAAAACAACGTGGAATATCGATCCCTTGTTTTTCTAATAGAGATATATATATATATTTTTATCGTTGATTTTATATCTGATTTGATAAATTCTAGAGTTTTACATTTTTCTTATCATCTCTAAGTTAAATGTGCTGGATTAAAATGATCCATTTTAATCCAGCACATGTAAAAAATTACATTGCTCTTATTATCTCTCTTACATACCAAATAATACTAAAAAACAAGTGATGATCAAGTAATAAAACAACTATGTTTAAGTCATCTTTATTAGTAAAACTTTAAAAAAAACTTAAACAAGCCTAAGCACAAAAAAAAAAAATCAATGAAAAAAAGAATTTAAAATTTTTTGTTATCGATAAAAGTACTTGGAGAGAAAATGAAAATAACTTTACGACAAAACTAAAGTTTCTAAGAGCATCCAAGTATGTTCAACATAATTTCAATTCACGCTTTTAGTTAAAGATATTAGTCTTCTACCTAGAGAACTCCCAGCTAGTTGTAAAAAATTTAAAAAATTAAAAACTAATTGAAAGTTTATCTACCTGTTTCTTGTAGAATATGTCAGGAAACTCTTTATTCAATATATGAAAATCATAACTGCAACTATTTGTGCTGTGTCCTAAAAGAAGTTTAATACAAATAAGATTTGTATTAAATGCATAACTTTCACAAGTACATCAACTCATTAAATTATTTCATATTCATTACAAGGCTATTTCATAGGCTAGTTTAAAAAAATATTTTTAATGTTATAATCATCATTATTATAAATATTATTATAATTGTTAATATTCATTTTTTATTGGTTTATTTTTATAAATTGATAATATTATGCTATTAAATAGTAATACCGAAAAGTGTATTTTTCGTAAAACGTCTTTTAAGACAATTAAAAACTACACAAAAAAAAATCATCACCCAGAGTGCCCATTTCCATTGGGCCAACGTATGTAAAACATTCGCGAACGTCGGCTCTTTTTTCCAATTCAAAACCAACGTTGATCCAATGTCATTTTGGTTAATTATGAAATTATTGAAAATTGAATTTAATGAAAACTAAAATTCGAATAATAATGAATCAACGTTATGCCAACTAAATTTCAACGTTGAATCGACGTAAATACAACGTTGAAACAACGTTAAAATTCAACGTTGTGCCAACGTATAAAACAAAGCGTTGTAATAATGTAGAAAATATAACCATTTTCCGACTTTAAATAAAAGTTTTATCAACATTGGTTTTAGTAGTTAGTAACGTCGCATTTGTAACAATAATGACATAAAAACAACGTTGGCAGTCGATGTTGGGCCAATGTTTTAACAACTTATGTGTGCTAGCTGGTCAATGATGATAAAAAAATTTTTGGTTGTTTTTTAATAATAAACTTTTTATGTGTTTTAATTGAACTGATGGTGTATTTGTATAGTATATCATGTATCATGGTATTTTTTATATATTTATATTATTTACATAAATTATATAAATTTATATAAATATAAGTTGTCTAAATATTAATACGGCAATGAATATTATTATTATTAGTGCACATAGTTACGCATTGTTACGCCTATTGTTCGTTTTGTTAATTACGGTTCTGTATTATGTAAAATACAGTATTTCTTAGTTTTTAAGTTGTTTCTAGACTTTTCTAAGAGTGGTTATATATTCCAGCAAACGTGGTTATATAAATCAGCAAACAAATCGGAGCTGATACACTTGTTTTCAAGAAGAATTGATGTTGTTCATTTTTTTAAATAAAAGTTTTAATAATTGTTAGTTTGTTGTTGCTTATTTTTATTTTTTCTAATTTTTATAGCCTGTTTTTATTTTTTAAAAGAAGTTAGAACTAGAATGTTTGGTAAATAATTTTTTTAGTAAAGTGCTTCCTTTTCAGTAAACTGTTTCAGTTTTGTCGTTAGTCTTTTTAAAACATTTTAAACAAGTATTGTTTTATTTTTTAGAGCAGTTAAGAGAAGCTGATAGATTTTTTAGTAAGTTCAATTCGTTTTCTTATTTATAGATTAAGATTGGTTTTTGTAAAAAGAATTAAAATATAAAATAAAGTTTTATATAGAATAAGACTGCTATTTGTGTTCATATAAGTTTATATACATAATTTTGCGTTTATTTTAGTCTATTTTATATTTATCTATATCTATACTATATCTATATTTTCTCATAGCATAAATAATTGAGAATAGAAAAATAAAAAAAGTTTCTTCTGGAATTTGTCAAAAGAGTGTTGTCTTATGCTTTATTTTAAGGTATTTAAATATGTATTTAATAGAGATTTTTAATTTTGTTCTTAAATGGTTTCTTCTTTTTCATTACCTTAGATTAATATACACTGACAGACATAACTTCATTTTTATTAACAATAATGTGCATTGTTGTCTGCATTCTTTGTTACATTAAAAATAATTGACGCTAGTAAATGTTGTTTTATAGTTGTTAAAAGTTTGCATATATATATATATATATATAATATGCTCGAAGTTAAAAATATCTTTGATAAACACGTGTATGTGGTGACATATGTTATATAGTTGTTTATATAAATGTGTTTTTATAACAGTATGAAATGTATTTTATCTAATGTGCATATGATTGTTAAATGAGGTGTTTTTATATGTTATATAACATTAAAAAAATATATTGTATTTTATAGTTAGTATATATGTTTATATTATGTTGTTTCCATGATTTAAAAGTGGTGTGACTTGACAAACGTGTAGAGATATATTTTTCATTCTAACCTGTCAAGCACTGCTTTAGGTCTAAGTGTTGTCTAGCCTTTTATATAATATATTAAAAATACACATCGTTATCTTTAAAATTTTTTTTGCCTAATTTTGATATCTTCAGCTTATCTTTATGTTGGTAACTGTTGTTTAAAAAATGAATAAAAGGTAGTTTCATTCACGAGTTTAAAATGTTTTATTAGACATTAAGTAGATAATGTTTAGTAGCTTAAAATTAAAGGTAATATATAATCTTTTTAAAATTTTATTAAGTAACTAATTTATTGTAATCTTTTTTTAAATTGTACTTTTAAATTTAAAGCTTCGTGTTATAGATGTTAATATTGAAAACGAAGATTTCTATAATTCTTAGATTTTGTTATAAATAAAATTTGTCTATAGTATTGTTAATATCTTTGTTTTTTAAACATTTTTTTCTGGGTTTTCAATAAATGTATAATAATTTCTCTTGCATGAATGAGTTTGGTTTAGGATATAATTGTGTTATTACATGTTTGTATTTCTATATTTAATACAGCATTAATCATTTTCATACATTTTTATTTAGGTTTAATTGCTTATAATTTATTAAGATTTAGATTATTAGAAAATTCATGTTTACAGAGTTGTTATTAATCATAATCGAGTTGTTGTACCAAGGAAATTGCATAAGATTATTTTTTACGGTAGATATTTTGTACAGTAGATATTTTGTTGTACCAAGGAAATTGTAGAGGTTTATTATTTCGGTTGATATTTTAACGTCTACACATTTATTGTTTAGAAACAGAGATAAAGATTTTAAATATTGTTTAGAAACAGAGATAAGTCTGTGTTTTTGCTATTAGATATTTGTTATTAGAAATTTATTTATTTGTACTGTAACTGGAATTTTAAAACTTCAAGTACCTTGGCTATACTTTTCTTTTCTTCTAGGAGAGTTAGATCAAAAACTAAATAGGAATTATATGATTAGTATAGTTAAATAAATAAGACATTTATATTAAGATTTATAAGGCTTTATTTAGTTCATAGTTTTGGTTTAGTTCATAGTTATTTTTAGTTAGTTTTAGCTTCAGTTATCTTTT